TAGTTCCTTGATATCAAAAGTTTCCCCCTCGTCCCCTTAACCTTTGGAACCTCAATGAGCATTTGATTGAAAAAGGATATCGGATTTCTATTTATTCAAGGCCTAGTGAAAATGCCTACACAAGTTCACAACGTGTGTGACTAAAGGGCGAGGCAAAGCACTCCGAGAAAACAACAGCAAGAAGATTCGGGAGCCTGGCGTGGTGGCGCACACCTGTAATCCCAGCACTCGGGAGGATGAGGCAGGAGGAACACTGCGAGTTCAAGGCCAGCCTGGGCTACAAAGTGAGCTCAAGGTCAGCTTGAACTGCGTAGTGAGACCCTGCCTCAAAAAAAGTAATAAAAAAATAAAAAATAAAAGAAGAAGAACAAAAAAGAAGCTTGGGGAGAGCAGAAATGTTTAACATTTTATTCCGAAGTCGCGCAAAGAAACAAACAAGCTGTCAATAAAGATGTGCTGTAAGTGCAAAGGGGCAGAGGTCACCTCGGGCAGAGGGCAGAGCGAGAGTCTGGGCTTTGATCTGGGACGAAAGCTGTGAGCGGTGGGCAGGGTGCAAGTGCTGCTGCGGAGTGGGCTCCCCGCGGGTGTGCGCGGGGTCGGGTCTCCTCTCCATCCCAGAGGGTACAGGGCTGGGGCTGTGACGGTACTTGCAGGAGGGAACCGGGCGGTGGTTTGCGGGTGTCACACCCGGAGGAGGAGACCCAAAGCCGAGGGCAAGGAAGCGGGGCGGGGGTTGCGGGGCGGCTTCCTGGGAAGCGGCGGCGGCAGAAAGCAGCGCGTGGGCGCCGCACCAGGCTTCGCCGATCACCGGGCTGGAAGGAGGTGATCTGTGGTTTCCTAACTGAGACTGCAGGACCAAAGACAGCTTCTCCCCGCCCATCCTGCTCCCGGGGTCTCCCCGGCCCTGGTCCCCCGAGGCTGGGTCTCTGTGTCCCCATCTCGCGAGCTCGGACGCCGACGCCCCAGGGCCTAGAGTGCGCGCAGGGAGGACGGTCCTGTACTAGCCCGGAGCGCTCCCTGGAGCCGCTGAGAACTTCTAAACTTCCTTCCTTAGCAACGAAAGAAAAACGTACTCATTAATAACGCTTTGCCTCCAAGTCTGGTACCTTTCTGGGGAGCGGCAATATATTAAAATGCTTCGGAAGCTACTAGGAAAGAATCAGCCATAAACGTGAGTCATTTTGGTGCGAGGCAGGCAGGACTATTTCACTTAACTTTGCTCGGTGAAAATTGGAGGCAGTATGTCTTCAGTGAATATCTTCTAACTTTGCGTTTTCTGCTTAAACAATCACCTGTCAGTATAATTTAGTGGGGGTGATGTGAGGGTGGTGCTGACTGGCTGGGTACTGCTGAGCTGAGTCCCTGGCCCAGTACTTGGTTCCATTTGCATCCTGACACCTGCTAGTGCCGCAGTTGAACTGGCCTTTGCACAACAGAAATGCCACCATGTATCTTCTTACGGCTTTGATGCGACAGTTATGAGTATGATATTGCGGGTCTCCTAGTCTAGAACAGGCGGTTAAACAGCACAGAGCATTCCAATTCCAAGAAAAGGGTTTTTCTGGCCAGAGGGAAAAAAAGTGCCATCAATACCTACGCCACGCAGTGTTTATGGGGTATTAATGTGGATTGTTAAACAGAGATTGAACAAGAAAGGAAAACTCACCAGGCAGGAGCCTGGAACTGTTTTATGGGGCCCAAAATGCTATGAGAGAACCGATTTTATTTTATTTTTTTTCTGTATCAATTGAGATTACTCTTTTTTTCTAATTTTAAAGAGAAAAAAGATAAATATAACAGTGAAACCGAGTTTCAAAACAGGTTAGGACAGTTACACTAGTTGACACATTGCATACTGTTGTCTTCCTAGTAGTTATTCAGAGTACGAGGATCCCTTATGTTGGTGATAGTGGTGAATCCTTGGAAAGTCATGCCTAGAAAATTTCACACACACACACGCGCACACACACACACTTCCTATAGTTTCTGATTCATCTCAGGAATTATCTGGACAACTTTTCCCTCCCTCTCGGAGGGGGTCAGTGAATGAACCATGTTTTTATAGAATTGTCTAGCCCCTTGTATCCTCCCAAAGCTTTCAGAACTGGACCTCAATAGAGTATTGATAGAACCAGCTTCAGACTCAGGTATAAGTAATTTGATGCATTTTATTTAACCCATTATATTAAAAAGTTACATAAGGCAGTGTAATCACTAGGAATTTATTTTGCATTTTTTGCAGCTAGTCTTCAGAACTGTTTATTTAATACTTACAGCACACTTCAGTTCAAATAAGCCCGATTTAAAGTGATCAATAGCCACATGTGGCTGGTAGCTATCTGGTTATAAAGTTCAGTGTTATATGAATACTTGGCTATTATATTAAATGATAGGAAATCAGGAGGACTAATTCACAGCTGAGTACTGCGATTCTTTCTAGCTGAGGACAATCTTTGCATGCATACATATTTCTGCCAAGTATAGATACTCTGTTCCTAAGTCACCTGGCTCTCTTCTATCAGAAAATGGGCATAATGTTCTGATTTCACTAAGAAATTCTACTACCATCACTCAGAAAACTGTTTTAGTGCATATGCAAATCTCTGATGTCTATAAAATGAATGACCCCTGCATGCACACTTACATGTGCACCTTTGAGTTGTGTATAAACTGAACAGTTGTACAAAGAACCCTGCTAGTTCCTTTGACCTACTCTGGCCATACTGCCTCTTTTCCCCCCTTCTGTTCCTATTCATGCCCTAAGCAAAATCAAGACAAGACTATAATTTAGCATCCTGCTTCAGAAAACCCACTGCCCCTCTCACCCTAATTGCAGCACGAGTTGTGAAGAAGATACGTGTTTCAATCCTAGCCTTCCCTGTCTGACCTCCCGCAGCCTCTGCACACCAACTTACTCCTTCAGGAAGCACCAATGCATGGCCTATCTTTCTAATGAGCTGTCTGGATCTTCCACACTCTTAAAAGCTGGGCAAAATCAGGACAGCCTCTCTGAACACAACCTCATTTCAGAGAAATTTTGGAAGCAAAATCCTTAATTCCACACAGAGCTTTTAATACAATGCTTTTTTTTCTCAGAGGTTTCCACATTATAACCACCTTTTATACTACGGAAAAGAAGTCTACATTCTCAGTTAAAATAACTCCAAGCTTCAACAGGCACGAGGAGGGGCATCTCACTGTTCCTGCTAAAGTGTTTCAAACAAAGGGCAAGTGACCTTGCTTTCTTCACAATCCATGCCTCTGCCACAGCACGTTAGTGTTGCTGCCTAAGATGATTCTTCAAGTGAGAGTCTCCCTGATTACTCAGTTGGTATAATCTTGAGTTTGCCACATATTAGAAATATTCATATTCAGTTTATATTCATTTCCAGAATAGCAATGATATGAATGTTAATGCAGTAAATTATATTTATCATCTGGAAAACTTCATTATGGTTGAATTCACTAGCAACCCTGTTGCCATTTCCTTGGTTTTAGTTTTTAAAGCTGAGAAAATACTGTGACATTATGAGTTTCTAATTCAACACTTCTTTGCATTTTTTTCAAAGTGTAAGGAGAAGTAGAACAGACTTATCTGTTAGACACCATACTTTAATGGGCCAGTGGAAGTGTGTACTTTTAAATTCAGGAGGAAACCTACTTTATATTTATCTTTATGCCAATGCAGTTATAAAATACAATATTATATATTTTTTATTTTTCCACTATATAGAGGAAAAGATCCATGAAGTTATGTCTACAGCTTATGAAAGTAATGAAGCAATTATTTACATGGTGTCACAACTCACAAACAATCATAGAGATATTATGTTCTTCCTAAGCAGAATAAAATTCCTTTAGAATTTCTTTGCAACTGTTTATAGAAACTTCACTAGCAAAATGAGCTAGAGTTTTCCTAAGAATCTAAGCAGTCTAAGAAAAGGTATAGAATGTGCACCCTCTAACCTGTTTTTAAATCTGCAAAGAACATTCCCTCCAAGATAACACAGTTCAGGGTCAACAGAGATTTTGAACGTGCTAATTAAAATGTTAGATATTGCTTGAGCAGAATAAAATCAATTTTTATTCACACATATTGAGAGTTATTCATGAGTGAGTGGGATAAAATGTAAAGACTGTGTCTCAGACAGACCCTATCAAAAGTTAAGCATTTACTTATATTAAACCAACTTAACTAAAATATAGCTTCATTTTAAAGTGAAATTTAAACTAAAAGAAAATCAACAGGTCAGGTAAGTATCATTACCATTAGTATCTCTGTATGCCTAAGATTGGTTCTGAGGTGGAATGTGCAAATTGCTTATAAAGAATGTCCATGGCAAAAAGCCACCAAGTGTGTGAGATAAGAATCCTGAGCATGGAAATCCATTAAATGCAAAAACTGAATTCTAGCTGGAGTGATGGTGCACACCTGTAAGTAACACCTTCACACAGAGAGGTATAGGCAGGAGGATGGAAAGTTCAAGCCCAGACTTGGCACCTTTGTGAGACTGTCTCAAAATAAAAAAAAATTTAAAAATTTAAAAGGGACTGGGGATGCAGTTTGGTGTGAAGACCCTGGGTTCAATACCCAGTATCACCCTGAGAAAGGAATTTGAACAGCGAGGCCTAGAGCCATCTAGAAACCCTTAGTGTGAGGCTTAGGAAGTCTGTGTGGAAAGACTGGATGAATTCCATACAAAACAAGTTGCTAGGGAGTGCACCAAAGTAGAACAAAGGGTTCTTAAGACAACTCGAGGTCAGGTGGGGACACTAGCAAACGTTAGGTAGCTGGTAAGTGCTGTCCCAAAGCCGCAGACGATGCTCTATGAAATTTCACGGGATGTACTAGTTTGAAGCAACACTATCTACTGCAATGGCTTTTTTTCAAAGCAATGACATAGGTAAGCAGTTGTTTTCAGGGCTGAGGTGTGAGAACAGCTGTGACTATACAAACAGAGCCCAGCAGCCTTACTCCACACTGTCAATCACCTACCATCATGTCATCTCCTAGGACACTAATGCCATCTGGAAGTGCCCCAGAGCTATGCATAGTTGGTGATGTCTATCAGACTGCAAATAGCTGGTTTTCAAGTAAGTTTAAAATACTCAAATAGAAAAAGGTTGAGGCTTGTGCAAAACCAGTTTCCTAAAGCCATAGAATCTGAACTGTGAGATAGATGGCATTATATAATCATCGTCACTTGAAGAGTTAAAGCACCATGCAGCCAAAAATGTAGAAAAGCAGTATAGAGGTTTGTTAGGCAATTAGTCAAAATACTGTGCTATTTTTCTTGATTTTGTGATTTTGATATTTTTGGCTTTTTAAAGTTTATAATGTGCTGCTGTGTCTTTTCTCATTTCTAAGCAATATTCACCCTTAAATTTGTGTTGGTGACTTTTTTGAAAGGGCCCTCAGTTACAAAAGATGAAAGATCCCCAAATACCGTGCGTATTCCTGACAGTCTGCATGCCCACATCCACCTGTGAGACCCCATTTCTTATCCTCTCCAGTTATGTAGAAAATGAGTTCAAGTGAAGGAGGCTATGAATGCTTGCTTCATGAATGCTTAGGATCAAAAATTCTGCAAACAAGGATGATCATAAAGTTCGTTGCGTTAGGCTACAAGAATTACAGTGCTTGGCTCCTAAAAGTAACTAAGGAGATAAATGAGAGACTGGAACAAAGTGAGGTGTACGTTTGGAATATTCTCCCAGGCAATTTAACCATGTTTTCCATCATCACCACCAACTCATGGCCTATTCACCACTGCAATAAACTCCAAGTCTCTTCTGTCCAGCTTGTGTTGTCACTGAAAGCTATGTGAGGAACTAAGACTTGCCAGATGGGGTGACCCTGGGAGATTTTCTTTCTAGCTCTGAGCAGTGGCAAAGCCTGATATTCCCATGTCTAGATTTAGTCATTTGGCCACCATCTCAACAGCATCAGTAGACAGAGATAGAGCATGGGAGTGATCTTTCCACTGCTTCTCTTCCCATTGGAAGTTTATATATCTATTCACTAACCTAAGTTTATATATCTATTCACTGTAAATTAAAGACCAACAGCTGGGAGCCTTGTCCTCAGCCCTGTCTTGCTTTAAAATTTATTCCTCCAACTTTTAGCCCTCCATCTTCTCCCTAGGGATTCATGCTGGTAGGCAAACTCTAGTGCAAAAAAATGATCCGGATGGCTATGACAATGGTGGTAGTATCTGAACACCCACTAGCACACACATCATTTGTTGTGCTGCGGTTTTAGTCATCACAACTGCACTATGAAATAAGGCCCTATTATTATTACTGTTTTACCTATGAAGAAGCAGATTTGGAGAGATTGCTTGGAGTTACAGACTGCAACTGGTGGATCACAGCACACATGTGTTGTGATAGGCCCTTATTTATTAGAATATAATGCTAGGATTTCTTGATCAAGATCATTTTGGCCTTGTTCATTGATATAGACAGTACCATGTTTGTTGAATTAATAGATTACATCAAATGGAGTATTCCTAGAAACTATGAACAGAGATTCCCCAAGCGTAGTCTATGGATGTAAGTGATATGGGTAAATCAGGTAAAAAGTGAGATCTTCCAGTTAGTAGGAAAATAACTTGGAGAATAAATCTTTACAACTCAGATCCAGGGATGGGGTAGGAGCATTGACAAGTAATAACTGTTCTATTTTATACTTTGTGGCTATTGATCTCAAAGATTTTTCAAGTTATTAGCAACAAATTTTTTCCTAGATGATTTTTTATGATACTTGACAAAGTAATTAGAAAAAAAAAGAAAAAGAAAAAATAATTAGATGACCTGGCTCATCACTTACATAATTTAATCATGACTCTGTTTAATGAGAAAAGTTGAGAATAATTATGAGGCATTTTTAAAAATAATCTAAACTGTGAAATTACAACCAAGATGTAAGTAATCACATCATCTGCTGATTCTTTTGATTTATTCTCTGCATCATGTTCTTTGTGGACATATACATTTTCTTATCACTTTGCAAACTTCCTACCACACATTTTTCTGAAAATAATAGTCGAATTTCCTGTCAATTCATCACTTCCTATCCTTGTCCCAGTCATCATGAATAAATTGCGTATGTATGAAGGTGTTAGTGTAAATGGATGAATGATGTGAATCAGAATACATTAAACTGACACTGTCAGTCTTCTTTCAACACCAACTTCACAAGCATAAACTTCCCTTTTTTAAGAAAAAAATCTTCCATTCCAAACTATTTAAGGCCAGTTTGGGGGCAGGGGCTTATAGTCCAAAAAAGTGTCAAAACTTATAACTAAAGATAGGAGAAAAGTTTTAGACTTAGAAAAGTTTCAAGGGAGAAGTACTTAATACTCTGATATATCACATAGATGTAAAGATATCATGGTGGCTTTCCTGCGAAGAATTTTTGTGACGTTAATCTCAGAATTGTCTTCATTAAAAATTGGGAGTATTTTTCCTGATGAAATCCACTCTTAGATATAATGACAACATATGGAAGAATTGATTCTTCATGTACATCTCTTTAAAATAGCTTTCTGAGTAAATGTTAATAATATATAAAATGGAAATAGAACTTAAATACTAATGCTTAAAATTTTGAAATAGCTGATATTTAATAACAATCAGTGATTACTATTTTGTTTCTATATACTTAACTAATGAATAGTCTACTGAGAATACAAAGACAAGGCGCTTGCTGAGCTTTATGAAATACCAATATTGGTAGACATTAGCTCTCCAAGTTTGATGCCATAAGCCTGGAGGGAAAGCAAGCTGCAGCTCACAAGACAAACTAAAAAACAAGGAGACTGATTTCTTTTGACATTGATTTATCATTTGATTGATGAGCTTTGCAATCTGAAATTATGTAAATAAAGTGGCAAGCAAGACATTCTTAAAAATACTACAGAAGGAGTCACAAATTAAATTGTATAGAATTCCACCAACAAGCCAATCTCCCCTTACTTCAAATTCCAGCATGAGTTTTGTTTTGTTTTTTGACCCAGGTCTCACTATGTTCCAAACTGGTCTTGACAACTCTTCTCCTCAGATTCCCAAGTACCTGGGAGTGCAGGTGTGCCCCACTGTGCCAGACTTGCTAAAGTTGAACTGTTAATTGACAAGAATGAAAAACAGTGGCTTCCAAGAGAACAGAGCTTTACTTAGGCAAGTATTTGAGACACATGAGTAAGGTTTATGGGTTAAATTTACAGTTTACTTCCAGAGTTCTTTCCACACGGAGCATTATTTGACAGGCTTCTCCCTTTCTCACTTTTGAAACTCCTGTCTTCCTCTGAGGACCTAAGAGAAATGAGAAAGTCTTTTCTTGTCTGTGGCTTGTACCCTGGCTATTCTTTTAAGATTATGATACGTAGTGTACTGTTTTTATTCTCTATTCTGTTATGAAATTTTATTTTTTCATAGAATTAAGAAGAACGCTTTTTATATTTGATCAATGTCCATTTGTATTAGGTTATGCTAAAATGTTTAAAGATTAAAAACAGAAAGCAAGAGGTATGTAGAGGTGAAAGGGTGGGACTGAAAAATTTCGGACTTAGCTTGTACTAATCTGGGAACTGTCAGTAACGAATGAGTCCCCTGACTTTACTAGTTTATTTTATTGTTAAATATCAAAATTAACATGTAGCCAAAGAGATTATACTCCTGAGTCTTAAATGTGAGGGTATTAGTCTTAGAAACATTTGTCAGCATGTCTGTTGACTAAACTTGGGGAGCTATACTCCTGTAGATTATATTTGGAAGAGAGATATTAAATTTTGTAGATGATTTTGAAAATAGTGGAAATTGCTGTATATAATTCATTGGGAAAAAGTTTGTCCATGTTATCAGTCATTGTTTCCCCAAAAAGTCATTCACTGTGCATCCCCCAAACCTACTCATTTGAATATTTAATCCATAATTTCTTCTTTTAAGCTGACAGAAATACTTCAAAAACAGCTATAGTGGGAGCTAATTTTTATCCTGTACCTCAAATTATTATAATTTAAAAATAATAGATTTTGTATATCCCCCCAAATCTCCCTTAAACACTGCTTTGCCATTGTCTAAATAACAAAATAAAAATTAATCATCTTGACTTCCAAATAGCCACATTTATTGTCTTTAGAATAATATGAAGTGTCGGGGATGTAGCTCAGTGGCCTGGCAAGCCTGAGGTCAGGAGTTTGATTCTGGATACCAAAAAAAAAAAAGGAAAAGAAAAGAAAGTAAAATAATATGAAGTGACTGACAGTAACTGTAACTGGTTGTCCATATGAATGCCTTCAGTGAGGTCAAGCCAATCGCTCATGTGCAGCTATTTTGTCTAAAAGTTGTTTTATTGCTAAATTCTTACAAGCATTTTGACATCAAATTTCAGCATAATAGAAACACAAAGTTAATATACTGGCTAATTTTTAGTTTGAAATAACTAAACAGAAAAGGAATTGAGGTGTGTTATGTACTTGTACCAATTCCCCACAATGAATGTAATTACTATATACAGTAAACATGTACTAATAAAAATTTAAAAATTTAAAAAGAAAGGTGAAAGAGAACAGAGGTGGAGTAAGAAAATTAAGTCTAAAATAAGTATTATAGAAAAGTAGAAAGTATTACCCATTCTTGGACACAAGTGAGTTTAACCCATGCACTTTATGTAGACAAAGATGTATATAACAAATCTAAGTGTTGTTGAGATACTACCCAATAAAAATGCATACACAAATCACGTTTGAGACCAACCTGAGCAACTTAGTGACCCTTGTCTCAAAATAAGAAATAAAAAAAGTTGGGTTTGCAGCTCATTGTCAAGGCTCTGAGTTCAATCCCTAGTACTGGGGGTGGGGATGGGGGACACAGACATTTGCTGAAAATAATTAGTTCCAGTACATGCTGAGCAGATACCAGCCTTGCTGAAACCTTGAATTACAATAAGGTGGGCTAAGATGTGAAGATTATCATGATGATTCCATACTGTTCCGTGATTTGCTGTGTACCTTTCTCTTCTGGTAATCTGTATGAGGTCATTACAAACAGTGAGCACTCTTACACTAGAATCCTATGTTAAATGAAATCTTGGTGCAAAGAAGGCTCCAATAAATATTTTTAATTAAGTAAAAGAAATGTATATTGGAAGATCTCTAAATAAATCATTTTTTGTTTATTTCACAGCTTTTAACACTGATCCATGAACAGTGAATCCATTCCACTTATCCTGTTGGACCATGTCTGCTGAACTTTTAAACAAATCATGGAATAAAAGTTTGCTTATCAAACCCCCAGTATTGCAGATACAGTCATTCTCCCTTCCATGATTGGGATTATATGTCTGACAGAACTGGTTGGCAACACCCTCATAGTATTTACCATAGTAAGGTAAGGGCTTCTTTATCTTTTGTTCCACAGTTCAGGGAACATGTTCAAATTCACCTAAATAAATCAACTAATTTTATCCCATAAAGGATTTTCTTTAATGAAATCAGATTTCAAAGATATTTGCTGAAGATAATTTGAAGAATCTCAGCAATATCTTTGTTATCATTGAGTAACATCTGAGCTGCATATCAAAAAATACTAAAAATCTACGGTAATGATTGCTACTGGGTCAGTGAGGTTTTTAGGGCAAAAACAATCCTCAGTCTCAGACACATATTAAAATTTCGTGTGGAGCTTTTTTGTTTATTTTATTTATTTATTTTTTTTTATTTTAAAGAGAGTAGTACATGAGAAACAGACAAAAAAAGTAGAACAATAGCAGCATACCACTATCATGAAGATACATCAAAGCGAAAACATTCAAAGTGATACAGTCTCAAGACAAATTAATACAAATCAACAGTGGTTTTTAAGTTGCATATTGCTATCCTCAACTACTTTGCTCAGATTATCAGATGTAAGAATAAAAGACTGCTCAAACCATTAAAGGGAATAATAAAATAATTCTTCAATAAAACATTAGAGATAATACAGAATTTCACCAGACAAGATGGTAGGAGTTCACCACTGTAATTCCATTGCATATTGTTACCTTCAAATCAGTTGCTCAGACCACCAGACACAAGCATGCAAACTCGATCAGAATATAGAAAACTGTGAGCATTAACTGTTCATTTCAATACACCATCAGACA